GAAAAACGGTGCCAAGAGAGGAGGAGAAAGCAACAAACCCACCCCCGGGCTGGGGGATGTCACCGGTGGTTGTCACCTCCCCGCCCCTCTCCCTGCAGGTGGAACAGCTGCAAACAGAACAAGCAAGGGGCCAACAACCGCCCCGTCAACCAGACACCTTCTCCTGAGGGGGAGAAGCTGCACAGTGACAGTGGCATCTCCGTGGACAGCCAGAGCTTGCACGACCAGCAGCCGCCCAGCCAGAGCACCCAGGGACCAGGTAGGGCAAAACTGGGTGCTGCAGGGTGGGCAGGGGCACCCCAGGGAGGAGCTTAACCTCTCCTCATCCTTCCCAGCACCCAAGGGAGAGGGGAACCTCTACGTCACCCTGCCAGCCAGCAAGCAGGAGGAGGTGGAGAAGCTGCTGAGCAGCTCCGCGGAAGAGACGTGGAGGAAGCTGGCCGGGGAGCTGGGCTACAAAGAGGACCTCATAGACTCCTTCACCAGGGAGGAATCCCCGGCCAGGGCTCTCCTGGCCGACTGGTCCTCCAAGGAGACAGCCACCCTGGACGTCCTGCTGGGAGCCCTGCAGAAGATCCAGCGTGGGGACATCGCCGAGAGCTTGTACAGCGAGTCCACGGCCACCTCTCCTGTCTGAAGGGTGGCCCGGGGTGGCCCCCCGGGGTCCCCTCCCCTCTTTGCCCCCTCGCCTTTCCCCTCCCCGGCACCAAGAGCCCCAAAGGGGAGGGTGGGAAGGAAGCGGGGGCTCCCCGGGCCTCCCCAATTTACAGTCCTGTATGCACTGAGCTCCTGTTTTGGGTATCGCCCCCTCCCAGCACCATCCCCCCCCGACAGCCCCTAAGCAGGCTGGGGCTGGCACTGGGGCTCCCTCCCCGGAGCCCATCTGCTGCTGGAGCATCCCCTGCAGCCCCCGGAGGCTGGATGGATGGATGCAGGAATGAGCACTGTGCTCCCAGCCCTGCCCTGCCCTCTCCTCTCCCCACTTCCAGCCCTTTCTCCTCCCTCCCTGGGTTCCAGTTCTCCTCTTCCTCCTGCCCTTCCTCCTCAGCCCGCTCTGCCTCTATCTCCTGCTCCTCTCCAACGCCCCAAATTCCAGCTGCTTTCCCCAAACTGCAGGCGAAGGGCAGGGCTGGGATGGGCACAGAGAGAACTGGAGATACCAGGATTTGGGGAGGGGGCTGGTCCTACAGCTGGGCTGGGGGAAAGGACTTGGCTTCCAGCAGCCCAACCTACACTGTGAAATTCTGGGGGTGCAGCCTCCCACCCACGCCCCACAGGGCTGCAGCATTTGGGCTCAGTGAGGAGCAGCTGGAACCACATGAACATTGAGGACCAGACATCTGGGTGCCACCACCTCCCTGGTGCTGGAGCTCCACGGAGGGGACGTGGAAAGTCTAAAGGGCTGAACAAGTGCCTGCCCACAGTGGGGGTGTGACAAAAGGGCTCTGCTCATCCTGCCCCTGGCACCAGCTCCAGCATCCCCACGCTGCACCCACCCAGCAGCAAAACCACCCTGCCACCATTGCACTGTCCCTCCTCACCCAGGGCTGGTGGTCCCGACCCTCTGCTTCTAAGGGCTCCTTCTCCTCCAGCACTGTGAAGGGGGGCTCAGAAATGCCCCTGTGGGCTCTTCGCCTCCATCTGGGTGTGCAGAGGGTGCTGCCCACCCCCCGTGCACCAACTGCCTTCCTGGGACATCCTCGGGTGGCCTCATCTCCTCCTTCTGCTGGGACCCCACCGCAGCCCCCAGGAGGGGCCATCCCTCCCCACTTCCCCATCTCCAGAGCTGTAAGTCCATTTTCTTGGCATATCAGCTCCCCCACCTCACTCACGGGTGAGGCTGGAGAGCAACCAGGGACTGGGTGAGCACCCACCTCATTCCCCCCACGAGCTGCCACCGAGGTCCTGGGGGATGTCCCCAACACAGCTCTGACATCTCCCTCGCCTGGAGCATCACGAGCTTTTTGCAGAGGAAGATGTGCAAGGTGAGCTGGTGCATGGCACCAACTCCTGGTAATCCACACCTACGGACTCCCCTTCACCTCCTTTCCTGAAGGCAGGAGGTGATTTTCCTCCCTTCCCTAAAGAGATGAGAGAGACTTGTAAATACTATCGTGTCATTTTACTAACTGCTTGATGTTTCTACGTGTGATGTGGGGTGAGGTGTCCACCCCAAGCCCTCTGCTCTTCCTCACAGCCTGCAAGGCAAGCTTTCATTTTGCAGCCCAAGCCTTCGGTCCCACCTCGTTTCTGGCCTTAAAGACTCAATGGGGAGGCAGGGAAACGTGCACACCCCAAAAATCACTGCAGTGGGTCCATGGGAAACTTGGCAACGTGGATGGAGTTGGCTGATCCCAGCAGAGCTGCTGGTGTCAGGAGGGAGAGCTCGGTGTTCTCCAAGAGACTGGAGCCAATGTCAAGAGATGGGAGCACCCAGGTCCTTCAAAAGCCTTTGGGAACTTTGCCCCCTGTGCTTTGGATGCTAAAGCAGCACAGGCTGAATCTGAATCTCCAGGATGGGATATTTGGTGCCTCCTGACCTCGTGCAACAAGAGAACCAAGATCCCTTCAGAGGAACAACCCTTGTGACCCTTTGGTCACCTCCTGCCCACGCCAAACCCATTGCTCAGAAACAGCCCCAACAGGGCTGTGAGACCCACATCCGAGCCCAGAACCTCTCCCATCACTAAAATCCAAGGAAACTGCCCCAAATCCACAACCCCACTTGCAGCAGGCGACGCTGGCTTGCAACCCCCAGAGACGGAGCCATCCACAGGGATGCTTTGGGATCAATTTAAGTATTAATTCTTGCCAGGTTGTTTCCATCGGTTCCTTTTTATGGTGAAACGACTCAAAGACGAACTCAGGGCAACAGGAATGAAACGCCCAAATCAAAAGCCAAACAAACTGCCCCAAACAGCCCGAGCAGCCCCAACCTGGCCATGCCTTGCCAGCTGGAAACTGCTTTTCTTCAGGACAATATTGCCACGGTCTCAGGTTTCTATTGCCATAGTCAAGGGATTTCCTCAGGGCTGAGGAAACAGAGACAAACTCAGCATCCAAAGAGAAGCCAGGGGGGAGGAACGCCTCAAATCCCTGGCTGCAGGAGAGAAAAAGAAGATAAATAAACAAGGAGGGAAAACTAAGCCAAAGTTAGTGCTCGTCGGTACCTTTTGTGTCCTTTTCTAACCTTTCTGTTGTCCACAGACCGTGTGTTTCGCCACTCACCCCTCTGTAATTTATTAGGGTGAAGAAATAGCTGTCGTAGAAGGAGTTTTGGGGGGGTTGGCGGGTGGGCTGTGAGCAGCATGAGGTTGCACGGGGAGGGGGGTGGCACAGGGGCCACCACGCCGGCCGGGTGGGGACTGTCCTCGTTTGTCTGTCAGATGCCAATAAAGAGCATCACTACCTTGGTGTGTCACTTGGGTTCTTTTCCCCCCCCCCACATCCCAATTTTGCTTGTGGATCCCGGTTCTTGAGGCAGCCTTAGCTTTTGCATCTAGTTTTTTTTCCTCTTTTTTTTTTTTCTTCTTTCCCCCCCCCCCTCCTGTTACAGGAGGAATGTGAAGTGTGATCTTCTCTGGTGGAGAAGACTCAGATCTCAGCCAGGGACGTGGTGTTGAGAGGTGCACACGACTCACCCAGCTTTGTACAGCAGGCACAGAAGAGGTTGTGGTGCTGGGCAGAGTCCTGAGCATCCCCCTACCACTGCCCACCCCACTCCATGGGATGGCACAGCCAGGAGAGCCCTTCAAACCCCTCCAAAAAACCCAAAAGAGGGTTACTTCTTCCTCCTCCTGCCCCTCCACGTTACTTCAGCTGCTGGAAAAGAGCCTTAAAGGCTCAAGTCCACTTATTTTGAAGCTTTGGGCACCAGGCACCAATTTCTGCACCCTGGTGCTGTTAGCAATGCTGCCCTCAGCACCCCCAAAGAGCAGGATCAGCCTCCTGAGACCCTCCCCAAAACCCCCAGACCCAGGGAGATTTATGTAGGTAGGGGCAAGTTTTTGCAATGAGTCCAGGAAGGGCTTGGAGGGCTCAGCTCCAGGTAGGCAAAGGGATGCAAGGAGCCCTCCAGATGCTAAATACTCCTTGGGGAGACCTAATTGCAGCCTTCCAGCATCTGAAGGGGGCCTACAAGAAAGCTGAGGAGGGACTTTTGACAAGGGCTTGCAGTGATAGGACAAGGGGTAATGGTTTCAAACTGGAAGAGGGGAGATTTAGATGGGGTGTATGGAAGAAATTCTTCACTCTGAGGGTGGGGAGACCCTGGCCCAGTGAAGCTGTGGATGCTCCATCCCTGGAGGTGTTCAAGACCAGGTTGGATGGGGCTTGGAGCAACCTGCTCTAGTGGGAGGTGTCCTTGTCCACGGCAGGAGGGGGGAACTAGATGGTCTTTAAGGTCCCTCCCAACTCAAACCATTCCATGGTTCTATGATACTCCCACAGCCATCAGAAAGCCACAACAGGGGGAAAGCTCCCAGGCACAGTGGCAAGTGAAATTTTCCCCAATGAAGAGTTTGCCTCTTGCCCTGGGGAGCTTCTGATGGCTCCTAGGAGGGTGCCCATCCCCAGGGAACGTGGGACACGTGGACAAGGGCAGCTGGGACCTGGTGGGGCTGGTGGTGGAAGCTGCTTCACGAAGGATTGCGTGTGGGGTTGCACACAGAGGTATTTGCACATCACAGCTTCTAAGAGCTTGAAATAGGATGCTCAAATGTAGCTGGTTTTATTTTTGGCTGGCCTGGGTCGCTCTCTAGCAGGGAACCATAATGAGGACCAGGACTGCACACACATAAAGAGCATTCCCTTTCCTTTTTGCAGGCTCCCACACAGCACGGCAAATAAACAAGGGAAAATAATTGCAATCAATCCATTAGGTTTAATCTGCTTCCTCTTAATCCCCATCCTCCCCTGGGAAAGAGGCTGGAATGGAGAAGAGGAGCAGAGCTAGGCTGCCAGTGGGAGCTGAAGGGTTTCTGCCTGCACTGCCTGGGGAGGGAACCTGGAGCCAGCAGGAAGGACCTGGAGGGGGGGCAACGAGCATCCTCTGCCCCCATCACCCTCCCTGCATCCCTGGCTGAAGCCATGGTAGGAGGAGAAGGGGAGAAGAAGCTTTTTGAGGTGGTCTTCATGTGTGGGATCAGCTGCATTAGATGGTCCTTGGGGAGAGGAACTTGATTTACAGTGAGTGCAGGAGGGGGGAAAAAAATAAGAAAGAAAAAACACGAACAATAGGATCTGGAAAGGAGCCTGATGTTTGCATCGACTGGGGAAAAGACCCTGGAAAACTTCCTTCCCCTTCTTTATGGGTGCCTGGGGAGGGGGAGCACAGCCCCCTGCTTCATCTGGCATCTGCTCTGGAGGGGCCCCCCCAGGCTGGGGGCTTGGGGACAAGAGCCACAGGCATGGGAGGACAGGGACAGCCCCGAGCTGGAGCCACACACCCACTCCAGCCCCTGTCACCCCCAGCAAGGAGCCACTGCTTGGGCAATCCCCCACCCTCAGCGAGGGCTCAGCTGCCCTCGAGAGAAAAAAAGGGGAAATAAAAACCCCAAACCACACCTCCAACCCCCACGATGCACCGAGATGCTTTTGATCCCACTCCTGGCCCCTCTAGGGACCTTCCCTTTGCAGGAGGATGAAGATGGGAGAAGAAAGCTGAGCTTCCAGA